CTCCAGATAGCCAGCGGAGCAGGCCAGCACACTCCCTGGCTGATGCACGGGACAGAAAAGAAGTCTCCTCGGAGTGCAGCTGAGATGCTCCCTGGGACTTGACTGAGAGGAGGGGTCTCGCTGAGCAGGCGAGGCAGGTAACCCCCTCACAGTGATCTAGTCAGAGGGCCCGGGAGCCGGTGATTCAAAGCGCAGCCAGACCATGTCAATACGGTCTCCCAGGTGCTCTTTCTGACAGAGATGCATGGATGCGATCGGAATTGTCCTCTAGACCCACCGGAGAAGATATCTGCAAGGACGGGCGGCAAGGACTCGTCCCAACAACCCTCTGAACTCTCAGAGCCCTGAGTCAGTACAGCGGCCAGGAGCAGTCCCAGTCAGAGCCTTGAAACAAAAATCCTCAGGGAGGCCTGGCTAACGGAAATGCTCTCCAGACAGATCAGATACAGGATGCCTGGCTCCCCAGGACAGAACAGAGGGCTCTGCTCTGAAAAACAGGGAGAACAGGACAGAGCAGAACCCAGACAGCCCGAGAACAAAGAATGTGAGGAAAGGGACAGAGCCCTGAACCAAGGAAGGAAGCTGCCCCGAAGAAGAGCCAGAAGAGTACCCAGAAAAAGACAGGGAACAGAAAAGGCGAAAAGGGACAGGGCACAAACTGGAAACAGAACTGGGCTGTGGGCAAGGAGGTGAGGGAACTGCACAGACAAAGCCTCTGTACAGACCAGTCCTCAAGGTTGCGGTGATCAGGGACAGGGTCCGAGCAGGTTGCAGAGGTCTGGAGTGGAGTACGAGTAGGCTGCCATGATCCAGGGCAGGATGTGAGCAGGTCCATGTATACTGGAGCCAGGTGTGAGCAGGCTGCCTAGATCCGGGGCAGAGTGCGAGCAGAACAGAGTGTATCTGGGTCAAGGTCTGAATAAGCTGTAGATGTCTGGAGTAGATTACGAGCAGGCTGCCATGATCCGGGGCAGGGTACAAGCAGACCGGAGAACATCAAGGTCCGAGTAGGTTGCAGACGTCTGGAGCAGGGTGAAAGTAGACAGCAGTAATCTGAGCAGACTGTGATCAGACTGCCTCAACAACAAGAAGCAGGTGGTCAGCATTTAGCCCAGGCAAGACAGCCTACCCTGGCAAGACAGACCATCATAGATTTGTGCAGCCGTGGCTACAGAGCGAAATCCCAAACTGGGCTTCCAGGGAAGAATTGGACATTCGACTTTGGAGCGGCATCTTGGCATCAAGAACCACAGGCAGAAATGCAGACAGGCTTCAGGACCCAGGGTGAGATGATCACCCAGCGAGACTGCTGCAATCACTACAGGGGAATCAGAGTGCAGACCAGAACAGACAGGACCGGCAAAAAATAAAACTGGGACAAGAGAAAAATAAGTGCAGACAGGAAAACAGGACGGGGGGAAAAGACAAAGACAGAGCCCCATTGAAGCAGGGCTCTGGCTTTAAATAGAGAGATGTTAATTACAGGAAAAAAAATGTAGATCCCCTAAAGTAAATCTGAATTATTCAGTGAGCCTTCGTGAAAATAAGATGGTTTCCCAGGGCAACCACTAGGCGCGGGACACTGTGCAGGACATGATCGTAACATGCAATCATTGTATTTTTTTCTTTAAAACAATTTAAAAAACATATATTAGGAAGAGTAAAGACGTTCTAAATGTAACAATAAACCTACTTTACTTTAATGCCATTTACAAGGATAGTGTACTTAAATTGCACTTAACTATACTGTGCACTACATATATAGTGGACTCCAGAATTCTTGGAACCCCTTGATAAATCTGAAGTAAAAAGTCCAAAATAAACCACAAAGATAATGAGATATTTAATATTTAATATATTTAATATGTTAGGGAAATACTTCTTTTTTTTCTAAAACATGTTTTCATTTCAGGGTCCAATTGTAAACAAGTAACGCTGTTTAACCTGAAAAACATAGGTGCCAAAATTATTGGCACTCTTCAAGACCCTTTCAAATACAAGGCACCTTGACCTATGGAATTCTAGGCAGACAGATAACCACAACTTCGCTTAATACAGTAGCTAATTGAATACTTCTCAACCTTTTAGGTCAGACACACATGAGTACTGGTTCATTTAAATTCTCTCACTGGTACTGATGCCTTATTATTCTTTTCAATGACAACACACAATATAATTATTTCTTTAAATGTTGTGGTCAGGTTTGGAATACACTTTTCTAAACCACAGGTGAATTAATTTAATAGTAGATGGAGCTATCCACATTGTACTTCTTTACAATCTCTCATCTTTAAACATAATAGTCGTGAGACAAATTATACACTGGCCAAGTAATGAGGATAGGAACAATGTCATCAAAAAAGGTTTACAAGGAGGAAACTCACTCATTATGTTTAGGTGTTCTAATGCATTTTTTCAAGTATAAGGTGTCATTACCAAACCTGAACCAATGTCAGGAAGATATCACGCCAGGAGAAGCACAAAAATCACAAACCATAGCCAACAATGCTATATTTAATTGTGTCACATTGGTAGCCTTTTTTGAATGCAGTTCGACTGAGAAATGACCTTCAAAGTGTAACCCTGAATAATATGTACAGAGGGTTTACAGATGGTATAAGGTCGAGAAGGCCCTTAGTCTCTTAAACATAGAAACACCCAGGAACATGTGAGATGAGCTATATGTCACAAAGCTGGAACATTAATAGCTGGTCTTTTCCACTTAAGTCCAAATTCTATCTTGGTTTCATAAAAATAAGTCTGCAGGCAATGTAAAAACAGTTGTGTTACAGAATAAGGTACAGCAGATATCAAGAAGATTGTTAGGGTGTACCCTGATCTCAGTATACATTGAAGGAATCACGTCCTATATAGTCCTATATGTGGATTCAGGGCCAGATTTTGGTGTTCTTAGGCCCTAGGCACTTTCACTCTGAAACTTGCAAAAAGAGGGGTAAACGCCAATTGACATGATGCATTTTAAACTATTGTAATGACTGAGGGATTCGCACAGAATGAAGCTCGTACACCCCTGATGTGCTGGCAGCAACAGACAGTCATAGGTACATACTGTAAGTAAAGTTTATCTTGGTCACTGAAACCCCTGCCCAACACACCCCAAAAATTACCCCTATTCAGAGTCACTGAAAGGAAACCAGGCATTTCTATACATAACACTAAGCATGCTGGGACATTACTTGCTTTACCATCACATGAATTACACCTGTATGGAATCTCTTGCTTTCAATATACAGTACTTGGTGTCACTCATTTACACAAGTGTTTCCATTTTGTCCACTACCTATACAATACTTAATAATGAATTATGTCTTTCACTAATTTATTAGACCTCATTAAAACCGAAATTGACATTTTTTGTCAAGTAATTTATTCTTGGATATCTTAAGAATGATAGGATACTTATGACCTGGCACTAATAGATCCCTCTTAAAGGTTATAATTTATCATGGAATCAATGCAATATTTATGTTTTTCAATATAATGTTAAGATATTATAGCATACCTTTAATCGCAATGTCTGCAATATTTGAACTAGATAACAACAAAGTACATAAAGAATATATGCAATATTTTTAACCCTTTTCACATAAACATATTTGATAAATCAGCCTTATTGGTCATAGAATCATATCTTATTGCTATTGTTCTACTATGAACTATATACTATATACTATTAACATTAATGTTTATAATAATATAAAACATTAATCCACAATCAAAAGTGTTTTTTTTTTCAATTTTATTTTTCAATAACGAACTCATAAATGTACAGTACATAATGCAACTTCCATGTAGCCTAAGTTGTTAACTAGATATGATGCTGACCTCTTAAAACTCAAAAGCTTAAATTACTGCGGCTGCCCATCTCGAACATGTAAGACTTCAAATATCTTCTAAGTATTTGGTGGCCACAAAAACGTCAAAACAGATACAACAGTCTTCAACGCGTGGTTATTTCAGGCTATGTGGCTAACAACCTGCAGCACGTACTGTATACGACAACATTAAGTACATGACATTTCACAAGTAACATACCTGTAATGGCAGAGTAGATAATACAACCATCTGTGCTCTTTGTTGTCATGTTAATTATTCTGTTATAAACCTTGTCGGACAAATCGTCGACAAAGAAAATGTTCTCCAGGCAGAGCATATTTTATCTACTGCTTCTTTGGTTTTTATCTAACAGCTTCGTATATTATTGCGGTTTGTTGGGGGGATATAACGATTAAAACGGTCCAGGAAGCCTTTAATGAAAAGGCTTTTTGAGAACTGCACAGGGTTGTATAGTGTTTATTATCTTTTGATCAAATTATATTGTAGCTGCAATTGTGTTACTTATCTATTGAAGACAGATGTCCTAGACGTTTAAACAGACAAGCCTGTTTATCAATCATCCCTCCTTAATGTTTGATTGGTACTAAAAAACAGAGCTCACTTTATCAGGATACGCATGTACTGTAGTGTATAACTGAACAGAACGCGCAGTAATCCTTTCAGAGAAAGGTTCCAAGCAACCCGGCGTTAAATTTTGAACCGCTCCAAAAACACAGAAACACAAAACGGATTGTGTGGTGATCCTACCGGTCTGATGGATTTAATCTGGGAAAAACACCCCTGGAGTCATGTTCATAAAAAAAATATTCAGCTTAATAACAACCCACTGCACCAGCTAGGCGTTAAGGACGCAGTATAGAACTTTAAAAAATCATGCTACCGCTTATCATTTAAAAAAATATTTTTAATGTATAACACGCAAGGCACTCAATCAATCATTCAATAAACGACATTCGAAATATTACGTAAACCTGTATTTCCCACTATTTTCTGGTATGATTCAGATTCAAGTTTTTTTGGTTCACAATAAGGTGGGATCTTAAGTATTATCACTTTCATACTATTACATATTTTCTGATCATTTCATTAAAGTGTTAAACTTCTCAAAATACAAAATGGTTTGTTCTTAAGAGGCTACTCACCAGAGGACATAGAAGAACCAGACAAACTGGAGTTACTTGATGCTGCCATCGTTAGTTCCGTTATATAAATTAAATGCAGACGGTCCAGATGCGGCTGATAATCGATTTATATTCGCAGTCCATTTCACTTCCCTCTGTCGTATCCAATTCAGTCACCCGTTTGGAACACCGATGGTTTTTAAATTTGTGTAGATTTAATTCTCGTTTATTGTTTCTTGTTCTTTTTGATCATATTACTTGGCTAACCATTGATTGCAGCCTACATGCGCTTCTGGCATTATTAGGCTTGCGTTCTTCTCAGTTACGTTACTGTACGTATCTTAGCTTTTAGTCTGAGTATCTGAAAGACTTTTAAGTTATTTCCAGGAAATGAATGTGGACGATTTTAAGCCATCTAAAGAACACGTGAAAGACAGAAAAGGAACATTAGATTTCGCCATGTTGAATAAGAGTTACTGTAATGTTTCCATGTACCACTTCTTAAAATCCTTATAAACACATTGTATCACACGGTAAACGCCTTCTTAAAGTGAAAGAAAATACTTGGTACACACGAAGTGCCTGCAGCGACTTCCGTATTAGTTCTGTTTAGTAATAATATCCAGTTGGTCCATTATAATTAGGAACTCTCTTTTTTGACTTATTTCTCTCGATTTTCTGCCTCTCGTTAACAATAATATTTAATAAACAATTATTATTAGAAATTTATTAGGTAGTTTTTTTTCAAATAGTTTTAAAATCTATTAATATTATTCACATAGGGAAGAATGCATAATCTGTTTGT